GTTTGATCTCACATAGATAATTCTTTCCCTTTTTTGTACCTTAGATGAAGGTTTACAGAACAAATAGTTTCTCATTAAACAGTCAGTACACATATTGCCTTATGACAATGGTTAACAACCCCACGACACGTCAACACTGTCCCTTCCCAACCTTGGGTTCCCTATCCCCAGCTTTCTTGTCCCCTCCTGTCTTCCAGTCCTGGTCCCTGGACTGCTGTGCCTCATTAGTACTGTTCTGTTTTATAGGGCTGTCCAATCCCCGGCTGAACGGTGAACTTCGGGAGTGACTTCACCTGTGAGCTACAAGGGTATCTGGGTGCCATACTCTCGGGGATTCTCTAGTCTGTCAGGCCAGTAAATCTGGTCTTTTTTTGTGAGTTACAATTTTGTTCTACGTCCTTCTCCAGCTCTGTCCAGGACCCTCTGTTGTGATCCTGGTCAGAGCAGTCAGTGATGGTAGCCAGGCACCATCTAGCTGTACTGGACTCAGTCTTGTGGAGGCCATGGTAGCTGTGGTCCATTAGTCCTTCGGACTCATCTTTTCCTTGTACCCTGTTCTCTTCATTCTCCCTTGCTCCCAAAGTGGTGAGACCAGTGGAGTATCTCAGATGGCTGCTCAGAGGCTTTTAAGACCCCAGACACTACTCACCGAGGTAGAATGCAGAACATTGTCTTTATAAACTGTGTTATGCCAACTGAGCTAAATGTTCCCTGAGACCATGGTCCCCCCAGCCCTCTACCCAGCAATTTAGCTCTTCTTCTTGATGACAGTGAGGTCCCCCCTTGCTCTCTGGAACTGGCTCTCTTTAAGCCTAGTGGCTTAAACTGACCAATCCCCTACAAGGGCTCCATGCACCTTATTTGCATTGCCCCACCCAATCATTCCATGGGAGTCATAAGACCATGGATAGAAGGGCCATATAAAAGCAATTCACTGCACTGCACATGCCAAGAAGGGCCTGGGGCCATACCAGGTGACCAAAGACATTCTGAGGCCAAGTTCTCCCCCTGAGGTACCAGGGGCAGTCAGAAAGAAGGAAGTCATGCTTACTCCACTGACCACTGAAGCTGGAGCTCCTTCTTTAAAACCTGGGGTAATCCATAAACTCGTAACATATGCACACTGTTCTTTACTGATTAAAAATGAGAACAAGTATGTTTTTGAGAGTCAATCAAAGATGAACTCCAGAGAGCAGTAGGACCTGGGCCTCAGTCCTAAGTTATGCAGGACAGGACCCAGCCCTGCATTCCACTCTGCTGACACCTGTGCCAGTGGAAATGGCCATCTGAAGCTCCTGTTGCTCCTTCTCCTGAGGCTGCCAACCCTGAGGAGGGGAGATGCTGAGGCATACTCCACAGGGTCTCCAGCAGGTGCCAGGGGTCTCCTCCATCTCCTTTGAGCACCCCCCTCCCCAGGCAATGGCCCGAACCCCACATCCTCCCTGTACACGCCATGCATCCACCTGCCTGGGCCAGCTCCACTTCCTCACAGGCTTAGTTGCACATCCTATTTCAAGTTCTGAACCCAGACTCTCCACCCTCTCCTTCTCACACCAACTCCTATGCATGCTTCAGTGGCATGTGGTGCCAACTAGGCACAAGCCTCAGACTCAACCTACCCTGGCCACTCCATGCTGCAGGCTCCCCAGAACTGGTGGAGCACACACACCCAGTCCTGTTCTGTTCTACTGACTGATTTTCACATGTGATGCACATGCTGACCCTTGTACCACACCCCACACAGAACAGCACCAGAGAAACTGCGGTGGACTCAAGCAGGAGCCAAAAGCGTGGTCAGAAGCTAGCTGGCAGCCATCCTGAAACCTCCTTCACAGTCCATGCGCCAGGACAAATGAGGCCAGGAGTGGAGGCCAAGGAGGAAGCAGCTGGAAAGGACTGACAACAAGGGAGCTGCGTGAGGTGACCTACCCCCACACCACTGAGTACCGAGCGAGGGGCCTGAGAATCTAGACAACCCAGGAAGGGTGGCCTGTCACAGGGGCACACCAGGGAGTGGGCAGGTAGTGGCAGCAAGGAAAGGTCAAGACAAGGATGGGGACATGGCTGGTGCTGCCACGCAGGCACACACGCCACTCAGCATACCACACAAATCCTACCACAGTGTTCTTGCTCCAATTCCACAGACAAAGAAACTGAGGCTCAGGGCAGACACCAATCTGTCCACTGTCACAGAGTCTGACCTTACACCCATCTGTTCGACTCCAGTCGGCACTCACTGGGAGCCCACTGCTCCACTGGAAAGAACAGTGTGCCCCAGGCCCAGGGTGGTGCCGGGATCTCGATTTGCTGCTTTCTGTTTTATAATAGGCCAAACTCTAAGTAAAACATGCAGCAGCGTTTCTATCAGGGCAGTGCAAATGTGGCTACATGTCAGATTCAGGCACTGAAAACCATGACAGAAATCCTGTGGTCCTGGGGAGCAGAAACCTGAGGGCAAACCCCGGTAACCTCAGAGAATAATTTCTGTACCATAATCTATTACCTAAAGCTTATCTTTGGTTCTCTTAAAGGAAGCAAGGCCTCTCTTGGAAAGATCACTGTGTCACGCCCACTCAAACCATGGCACCTGAGCCCCTCTGGCTGCAAAGAGGCCAGAAAAAGTGGCTGATAAAGGATGTGATTCCGATCGCCTTACAGAGCAACACAGGGCTAGCGCAAGGGTCCATACCCTTTGAGTGTGCAGCCTGCATCCCTGGACCCCAAGTTGAGATGAACGTGAGCCTTACCTTTTTCCCAGTTTGTTTCTCCACCATGTCGTTGCTGAGAGAAAATTCTTCTGGCTGTGGTGTTTTAGAACACCCACCCTTGGGCATCGTTCTGCTCCCTCATGTGATCTTCATTTACACTGCTATCGCCTCATCGTCGACCGTCTGCTTCAAGAGATGACACAGAGTTACAATCGTCACACTCAAGGAGAAGGCACAAAACTCTGCCAATCTTGTTCTTATCTATATAAGAATCAGTAGCTAGTTACCTTACCCAACAGAATGAATTAAAAGTAACCAGCTGTCAAAAAAAGACAAGACTTGCGAAGGCAGAGAGCATTAGGAGCTGGTTGAACAGACATGGGAAATCGGGTGGAAAGGAGTGCGCTGTCACAGTATAGGGAGAGCAATTAGGTCACATGACAATGTATGTATAAATTTCTGTATAATAGACTTAACTTGAAATGTAAACTTTCACTTCAACTACAACAATAAACAACAACAAAAAAGACCAGACTTACTGGCCTGACAGAGACTGGAGAAACCCCAAGAGTATGGCCCCCAGACACCCTTTTAGTTCAATAATGAAGTCACTCCCGAGGTTCACTGTTCAGCCAAAGATTGGACAGCCCCATACAACAAAATGAGACTAATGGGGCACAACAGTCCAGGGACAAGGACTGGAGGGCAGGAGGGGACAGGAAATCTGGTGACAGAAAACCCAAGGTTGAGAAGGGATAGTGTTGACATGTGAAGTTGTTAACCATTGTCATAAACAATATGCGTACTGACTGTTTAATGAGAAGCTATTTGTTCTGTAAACCTTCATCTAAAGTACGATTAAAAAAAAAAAACTTAAAAAATTAAAAAATAAATAAGAATAACCAGCTGTTTGCAAATCACAATTGTGCAAAAATGGGAAGCAGCTGTTCTGAGGTAGAGATGGGCTCCTGAGATCTCCTGGCAGCCTCAGCCCAAGGAGAACCAAGGCTCAAAGAGCCGCTTACCCAGGGCCCGGAGCAGCTCACAAACACACGCTGGAACCTGGCTTGTCACCACAAAGAGCCTGGGCATAGGAAGGACATGCTGAATCACACCACTCAGAAGGGCAACACCAACAGTAATGGAATCTGCTCTCCACGAGGTAGAAACAAGAGGGACAAGAATGTCACAGCTGTAGTACGAAGGGTCTGCTCAGCCAGCTGAGCTCTTCTGGCCTCATGACCAAGAGCTCCATCCATGCACACAACACGCCCCAGCCAGCTCTGGCCACTGTTCTGCAGTGGTCAGAGGCCACACTTGTTCTGTGGCTGCCCCAGCGCCTTCATGCCTCCTACCAAGCAGCTTGTAGTTGTGACCACATGAGGGGACACGAACAACGCAGCCTGGTGCAGGCACAGTCCATGACATCCGTGTGCACCCGACCATCACGTGAAACACCCGCTCACCTGCTCCAATCTCCCAGACACAGAAGTTCATGACCAAAATCATTCCGCTTTCCGAAATACACCAAGCACTCCCAATAAATGTATGGGGACAGCCACATGGCTGCTCTGAGGAAGTCCTGAGAGTAGCACCAGAACGTCCACTGGGCACACTGGAGGCATCCGCCCATGTCACCCGGGGCCTGAGCCATCAGTGGCATTTGGTGTGGGCCCCTACATTTCTCAGGAATCCCCAGGATTGCCCCAGAAGGCCTGTGTGCCCAGGATTGCCCCAGAAGGCCTGTGTGCCCAGGACAATCTGTCTACACACAGCACTGTGGCAGGTCTGGTATATACCTGGCCTTCCCCACCTGACGCCTACTCAAGTCCAGATGATGCTCAGCTGCTTGCATCCCCGCCTGTTCCAGTCTTGACTACTCCCAGACCTCCACCTCCCTCCTGTCTCACCAGGAGCTCTGGGAACCTGTTGGCCTACAAAGCCCCCAGCGCTCCTGGGCCCACAGCTGGACGTTGCTCTCACAAGCACACAGTGCACAAAAGTTCACAGAGTCACACAAATGGAGACAAGAAAATGCTAATCACATAGGGCGACACGTCAAGAGAAACCATGAGAAGGAAAGGTGCTAAACGGGGCAGGAAGCCAGAGATGCAGCCAAGCACAGCACTGGAGGAGAGGGGTAGGCCGGCCCAGACCGCACCCAGCCAGGCTATGGATGAGAGCACCACACCAAATTCACAGGAGAAAAGGCAAACTGTATACAGAGAGCATGTGCATGCACAGCAGCACAAAATACATAACCCAGACAGGACTACAGAAAGTGCTTAGAAAGCCCAGGAGCAGCACAGACAATACCAGAGGCCAGGATACCTGGCATGTGCGCTCGTACTTCTGCACCATTGGAAAGCAGAAATAAAGCTACTTTAAACTTTTTCCCCAGTCAACTGGAAAGCCAAGAAACAGAGAGACATGAAGTGTGTAGCAGGGACGCACTCAGAGGGGGCCAAGGGGCAGCCCTCCCCGCCCTCCACACTACTTGGCTCCTCACTTTTGTGAGGAGACCACAATGAGATACAAAAAAGCACACCCTGTCTGCTCACTTGACATGAGGCCAGAGCAGACACTATTGCTGGGTTTTCAGTCTGCCTCACAGGTGTCAACGCCCCTGATGTGGCTGTACCCAGGTGACGACGCACAGCCCTCTGGAGGCCGTGGGCCACTTGCTATGGCCGCTGGGCCCTTCATATGCTCTCCCCAGCTCTGCACACGTGTGATCACCTCCTGGGGAGGTGTCCCTGTGTGTGGCTCCCTTTCCAGTCCTCCACCAGGGCAGGCCTTTCTTCTTCTTTTTTATGCTTACTATGAGCGGTACTGGAAACCCTGGTGGTGTAGTGGTTAAGCGCTACGGCTGCTAACCAAAAGATTGGCAGGTGCTCCTTGTGGCAGTTCTGCTCTGTCCTATAGGGTTGCTATGAGTGGTACTGCTAAGAACAGTTTTGTATACATTCACTTCAGATCTTTTTTGTATTATTTTCTTATGTCATAACTCTCGTTACATATTAATTACCAAGTTGTTCTCCAAAAAGACTGAACCAATGTTCAGAGCCGAAAACAAACGACTGTTGCCCACAATCCTTTTTAACATAGGTTTCACTTCTTCTTTGGCAGACTAGGGTGAGGGGGTGTCACATATTTTAAAATATATTAGCAATATGAAGTTGTCCATATGTTGGCTTATTATTTACATTTATAATAGGGACATTCTACTGTTGATACTCTCTAACCACTGTCAAAGTTAAGAGTTGGAACTGCACTTAAATGTGTGCATAAATCATTGTCACTGAATGGCAGGCTTTTGCCATGTCACTTATCACAGTTCCATTACCTCCCTTTTAAAATTTTTAATTAAACTTTTTCTTTTAAGATAACTGTAGATTCACATGCAGCTGTAAGAAATAATACAGAGAGATCCTTGTGCACTTTGCTCAGTTTCCTCCAATGGTAACATCTTACAAAACTATAGTACAACACTACAACCAGAAAATCACCATCAATGCAGTAAAAATACTATTTCATCATTAGGATGCCTCAAGATGTCCTTAGATAGCCACACCTACTTCCTTCCCATCTCCACACCCCTCATTAATGCCTGACAACCACTAACAGGGTCTACATCTCTATAATTTTGTCATTTTAAGAATGCTACATAAATGGAATCATACAATGTGGAACTTTTTGGTTGGCATTCACTTTTTTAACTCAACATAATCCCCTTGTGATCCATCTAAATTGTCCAAGTATTTTGTTCCTTTTCATTACTGAGTAATATTCCATGGGCGGACATTTCACAGTTTAGCCATTCCAACATTGAAGGACATCTGTGATCTTTACAACTTTTGGTGATTACCAGTAAAGTTGCTGCGAACATCTGTGTACAGGTTTTTATGTGAACATGTTCTCATTTCTCTGTGATAAATGCCCAGGAGTGTAACTGCTGGTGGTATGACAGCCGCGTGTTTATTTTTTGAAGATAATGCCAAACTCTCCTCCAGCATGGCTGTATCATTTTATATTCCCACCAGCAGCGTACAAAAGATCCCACTTCTCCCCATACTCACCAGCATTTGGTGTTGTCACTGTTTTATTTTAGCTGTTTTCATACGTTTGTAGTGGTATCTCATTGTGGTTTTAATTTGCAGTTTCCTAACGGCTAGCGATGTTGAACATCTTTCCCTGTGCTTATTGTTTGCCATCTGTGTATCCTCTTTGGTGAAATGGCTCATGTTTTTTTTTTTACCATGTTCTAATTGGACTGTCTGCTTTTTTAAACTGTTTCGTTTTACGAGTTCCTTATATATTCTAGATATGAGTCTTCTGTCACGTGTGGTTTACAAATACTCTCTCCCACTCTGTAGCTCGTCTTTTCATCTCCTTAATAGGGTCCTTTGCAGAGCAAAAGCTTTTAATTCTGACGAGGCCTAGTTACCAATTTTTGCTTTTAGAAATGGTGCTTCTGCTGTCAACAAGAACTTGGTCTAGCCACAGATCCTGAAGATTTTCTCCAAAAAGTTTTTTAGTTTTACGTATTATATTTCAGTTCATGATCAAGTTAATTACACTGACTGATTTTTAAATACTGAACTAGCCTTGCATCCAGGAATGGACCCCACATGGTCATTTTACATATTGCTAAACTATATTTGTTATTAAGTTACTGAGGATTTTTACATCTATATTCATGAGGAGTACTGGTCTGCAGTTTTCTTTTTTTATACTGTCGTTGGTGTCAGAGTTCATAAAATAAATTGGGAAATGTCCCCTCCCCTTCTATTTTCTGGAAGAGACTGTGTAGAATTGGTGATAATTTTTTAAATGTTCAGTAGAATTCTTCAGTGAAACCATCTGAGCCTGATCATCCCTTTTTTGGGTTTGTTAAAAACCCCAAATTCAGTTTCCTCAATAGATATAATCTATCCCATATTCAGTAAGTTGTGACAGTTTGTGATTTTCAAGGAGCTGGTCCATTTTGTCTGAGTTGCCACATTTATATATGCAGAGTTGTAGTATTCTTTTTTGGTGTCTTCAGGGTCTGTAGTGGGTGGTATCACCTTTCATCCTTGATACTGCTAACCTGTGTCTTTTTTTTCAGTCTTGCTAGAGGTTTGTCAATTTCATTAACATTTTGAAAGAATCATCTCTTTGTTTCACTGAATTTTCTCTAT